CAGCCGATCCCCGTATGTGGCCGTCTCCTCAGGCTTTGTGGTAGTCCACGCCATGTTTGGTAGGGCGCTTTTATGTTCCCCACATCCGTCTGAAAATCGGGTCTTTGTGGGTCTTGTGCTATCTCCGGCCGGCTGGATAAGGGTATGTGAGGTCTCCGTCTTCCACGTCTTCGGCCCAAGGCCTTTGTGGGGGTCCGTGCCTGGTGTCCATTGATCCCTTCAGCAGGATCGTGTGGGTTCTCCGGGTTTTGGACAGCCCTCTGGTTATATGGACGGCGGTGGGGGGTGACCTCCATTTGAGCCCCCGGCTCGGAACAAGAGCAGGCGTGGGGGCCCCAGCATCCTCCATCCGCACCACAGGAGGTGTATATACGTGCGTGCCGTGTCCCTTCATAGTCTTCAGCTTGGGTGAGGGGTATGCTTCAACGGTGTTGTTGTGAGACCGTTGCTCTGTTTGGGAGGGTTGCCTCTGAGCTCAGTCATGGATCCGGCTCCAGAATTTCTGGCAGATGTCAAATTTCTGATTGAATGCGGTGAGTCAGTCCTGCGTCGTCAGGCCTGATAATGGTTGAAGAGTCCTTGGGATGGCGGCCATGTTAAGTGCGAGACGTGGGTCCCTAATTGGCCCCTTGCTTGATGCTGGAGAGCGAGAGTCCTTCACTGGGGACCGGGATATCCCCCACGGTCCAGAGGGGGGTAATGAGGTGAGTTATAGATCTCGCTTGTTGCAGCTTCGAGTGGGGCAGGTGATCGGCCATTTCACCCGCCCGGCAGCGGTGGTAGGCCGCAGTGTGGTCTCCGCGGGAGAGTCATGCAGGTTGGTCCACAAGGTCGTGAGGACTTCCCCCAGGGTCGTATATAGTTGTGGGCAGTTTGTAGGGCGTCGGCAGCCGGCTGGGAGTCCATTATCAGGCAGATTGTGTGGTTCAAGCCAGGAGCTCCCGCGATGTGCAGCCTGCCGCCATGATGCCCAGGCCCCGCCCCCAACTTGATCAGTCTCTTTCAATAAAAGGCAGAGAATAAAAAAAAAATAAAATAAAATAAAAAAATATACGCACAAAAGCAACACCTAGGGTCAACAGATATGAAAGACCAGCGTGAACACAGACATACAAATACTGAATTTAAGTGCCCAATAAATGGTTGCAAACTTAAACACTACACTTGGGACATATATTCACACAGAGAGCAGCAACGCATACTTGAAATGTATAATCTCAACAACGATTAACATCCATTATAAAAGAAAACCTACCTTAGAGCCGGATGTGTCCACTGCTTCACAAACAACGATGATCCCTGCACTGGGGAAATGCATATGATGTCATAATGATTAAATATAAGTCATGCATAACTGTGCAGTGTGGCATGTGATGTCACGGAGTGTTATGTTAATCACCTGTGAAAACATTCAAACCTGAACCAATCGGCAGGGTCCTTGTCACACGCGTCTGTGGTTTTACATAGCAAGGATTATGAAATCATTAGTGACATACCAGGTGCGGGCAAATAGCTTGAAGGATATGCAAATATGTAGGCATATCTACAGAATGTTTAAAGGGACACTATAGTCAGCAGAACAATGACAGCTTAATGTAGTTGTTCTGGTGAGTATAGTCAGTCTCTGCAGGCTTTTTGTTGTAAACACTGCCTTTACAGAGAATAGGCAATGTTTATATTGCTCTCATGACACCTCTAGGTGCAGTCAGTCAGACAGCCACTAGAGGTGCTTCCTGGGTGAGTGCTGCACTGACTTTCAGTGTCTCCATGTTCTGCATGGAAAGGACTGAACTTTCCTAATAGAGATGCATTGACTCAATGCTTCTCTATGAGAAGATGCTGATTGGCCAGAGTGGTGTTTGGCTCCTCCCCTCCTCCTTGGCGGAGATCATTCGAAGTGACGATCTCAACCAATCCAATGCTTTCCTATGATTGGCTGAGGTTATCACGTCTGCTGAGGTCAGCCAAGGAGACGGATGGGGATTATACAACTATATGTGATACACACTAGAGCTGGTCATAGCGCCTACATGTGAGTGCAATATCAGTATTATCTATGTATTGTCTTTTAAGTCTTGACATATTGCACTATTAGGTTATTTTGTCTTTCTTCTACCCACATATGGAGATTAAACACAATCAGATCTTCCACATCCCCCAAGCATAAAGAACCACAGTTGCAACTACTTTTTGATAAAGACACACTTCTATATGTGACAATTTGCTCTGTTGGAATGAGATTCTCAGTATTACCGTGTTTCTCCAAAAATAAGACCGGGTCTTATATTAATTTTAGTCACAAAAAACTCACTAGGGCTTATTTTCAGGGTAGGGCTTATTTATTTACGGTACCGGTATGTACATTGAACCCCCCCTTTAATTAATCCACCCCCCCTTTAATAAATCCACCCCCCTCTAATTAATCTTTAATTAATTCACCCCCTCTAATTAATCCATTCCACCCTTTAATTAATTCACCCCCCTTTAATTAATTCACCCCCTTTAATTAATTCACCCCCCTCTAATTAATCCAGCCCACCCTTTAATTAATTCACCACCCCTTTAATTAATTCACCCCCCTCTAATTAATCCAGTCCACCCCTTTAATTAATTCACCCCCTCTAATTAATCCAGCCCACCCTTTAATTAATTCACCCCCCTCTAATTAATCCAGCCCACCCTTTAATTAATTCACCCCCCCCACCCCCTTTAATTAATTCAATTAATCCCAGACATAAAATATCTAGCGGTACTCACATTTCAAAGATTCCTTGCCAAGTCCGACCACTGGGAGCCTCACCGCCCGGAAATGGATCCTTCCGCTGAAGATCCGTGAAGGCAGACTGACGGCGCTGCAAAATGTCGTCATCACGTTGCGCGACGCTCCTCCTACAGCAGAAGGAAGTCTCGCCGCAAAGGTACAATGCCTAGGTCTTATTTTCGGGGTAGGGCTTATATTGCAGCCCACCCCGAAAATCCGACTAGGGCTTATTTTCGGGGTAGGGTTTATTTTCGGGGAAACACGGTATCTGTTTAATTTTATGTTACGCAGCCCTTCTCTGTCTCTATCCTTTTCCTATGATTGATTGAGGTTATCACGTCTGATGAGGTCAGCCAAGGAGGCGGAGCCTGCACTTGCAGAATGGAACAAGTAAGACTTTACTATATTTAGTAGGGCAAGGAGGAGCTAGATAGTGATTTTAACACTATAGGGCCAGGAATACATGTCTGTGGTCCTGACCCTATTGTTTTCCTTTAACTAACTTCCTTTAAAAAAAAAAAAAAAAGTCAATTTACCATGCCAAGATGAGGTGGTCGAGCTAAAATCTTGTAATGTGATGTCATAATTGGGCATAATAATAATCCAAGTTATATTATACACTGATCAGCCTCAACATTAAAATCATTGACAGGTGAAGTAAATAACATGAATTATATCATTACAATGGCACCTGTCAAGGGGTGGGATGTTAGGCAGCAAGTGAACAGTCAGTTCTTGCATTTTATTTGTGGGAAGCAGGAAAAATTGGGCAAGCAAAAAGATCTGAGTAACTTTAACCAGGGCCAAAAAGTGTTGGCTAGACGACTGGGTCAGAGCATCTCCAAAACAGCAGATCTTGTGGGGTGTTCCTGGTATACAGTGGGTAGTACCCACCAAATGTGCTGCAAGAAAAGACAACCAGTGAACCAGTGTCAGGGTCATGGATACCCAAGGCTCATTGATGCATGTGGGGTGTGAAGGTTAGCCTGTCTGGGTAAGGGTAGCCATGAAAAAGATGTAAAAAACACAGTGCTTGAGTGTGCTGTGTATAGGGCTGCCTAGTCGCAGAATGGTCAAAGCACTCATGATAACCCATTTATCACCAAAAGTGCCTTTAATGGGGGCATGAGTTTTAGAACTGGACCATGAAGCAATGGAAGGTTGCCTGGTCTGATGAATTACATTTTCTTTAAGATCAGGTAAATAGTCGGATGCGTGTGGGTCATTTATCTGGTGAAGAGATGGCAGCAGGATGCACTATTCGTCGACGGCAGGCCAATGAAAGCAGTGTTATGCTCTGGGTAATGTTCTGCTGGGAAACCTTGGGTCCTGGAATCCTGTGGATGCTACTTAGACATGTACCACAAGTGAGTTCCTGAATGCTACCGCAACCATGATTAGTGTTGCAGAAGTGTGTATTACCAAACGCAACATTAATGTAATTCAGTGTGGTGCAAGAATGTATAAGCAGCGTTGAAACTATAAAACGCTTTGTAATGTGCAGTGTATATGTATGAGTGTATATCATAGAAATCAACAAAAGTGAAATTCCACTTTGCAGCATTTTTTATAGATTGGTTATATTTGTGTCTGCACTGCAGTGGTACCTTGTGTTACAATCCAGCCATACATCGCTGTACATCCCATGTGTTTATGTTCAATGGTTAACTTCGGTAGTGCAGTTCTAATAACTCCGGTCTTTGTTTATCGTTAGTCTTGTCTTTTCTCTTGGTAAGTTTGTGGTCTTCAATCTTCTACTCTTGACCAGCCTGATTTGCTACAGGTGTCTTCTGCCTTAATGACTCCATCTGGGAAGGTTCTCCTTTTGGATTGTTGCTTCCTGTACCCATTACTTGGCTGACCCTCTAGAGCAGGGGTAGGCAATCTTCAGCACTACAGATCTTGCCGACTATCTCTCCCCTGATGCTTTGCCAGCAATATGGCTGTAAGAGCATTATAGGAGGTATAGTCCACATCTGGAGTTCCGACTATTGCCTACCCTGCTCTAGAGAAAAACCAAACACATGCATATTGTCTGCTATAATTTTAGATTTTCTGATCTGCTTGAACATATCATCTGCATTATACACTTTATTTGCTAGAAAACAGAGAACGAATACAACCCAAGCCTGCTCCAATATTTTCTTTAAACATTTGTTTAAACACTTTAACTCAACCGCTTTACTGTAGATACAATGTGCTTCACTCCAGTATTGCTGCAGTTAACCTAAAAATCGCACTATAAATGAAAGCAGATTAGAGCAGAGAGCCATCAAAAAGGATTACGCACGACACGAAGAAAGTGGCAAGAATAGTTTTATTGTATTATTAAATAGGATGTGGTCTTTTTTTCCAGCCCTTTACAAGTGGGCATAACAGGCATGAAATAACATTACATGCTGAGGATCTCCACATTTGGGTTACATACGCATGCAACTTAAACATTTGCCCATGTGACGTATCCTTACAGCTTTTCTATGGCAGTGCAGTTACATCGCCTTCCTGTCCATTAGTCAGTGAGAGAAGTGGAGTCTTAAAAACAATATCTACGAGTCCAAATGCAATTTTTTTGCCAACGTTTTCAATTCAACTAGACATTAAAATAATATAGGAATTGATATGTATATGATGTAAAAAGGCGAATTTGTGAAAAGAAATGTTTTATTTTTAAACTATATTTGTAGCTCTTAAAGCAGCTCTGTCACTTCTTGAGCATTTAATAAAGATAAATGATTTACTCATTTAGATGCTCATTTCAAAAGACATCATAAGAAAAAGATTACTTTATCTTATGGGCAAGTCGTAGGTGGAGAAAAGGAGGAACCCTTTCACCGTCGGTGACAGCTTTGTAAACTAGTCATCTTCGAACCTAAGTGGCGGCAAATCTGCTTTAAAGGACCACTCTAGGCACCCAGACCACTTCAGCTTAATGAAGTGGTCTGGGTGCCTGGTCCAGCTAGGGTTAACCCATTTTTTCATAAACATAGCAGTTTCAGAGAAACTGCTATGTTTATGAATGGGTTAAGCCTTTCCCTCTTCCTCTAGTGGCTGTCTCATTGACAGCCACTAGAGGCGCTTGCGTTTCTCACTGTGATTTTCACAGAGAGCACGCAGCATAGGAAAGCATTATGAATGCTTTCCTATGTGACCGGCTGAATGTGCGCGCAGCTCTTGCCGCGCGTGCGCATTCAGCCGACGGGGAGGAGAAGAGGAGGATCGGAGGAGGAGAGCTCCCCGCCCAGCACTGGAAAAAGGTAAGTTTAAACCCCTTTCCCCTTTCCAGAGCCGGGCGGGATGGGGTCCCTGAGGGTGAGGGCACCCTCAGGACACTATAGTGCCAGGAAAACGAGTATGTTTTCCTGGCACTATAGTGGTCCTTTAACAGATCAATAAAAATATCAATAACAAATTCGCTTTGTTTTATGTAATCATTTATGGACAACATTCGCTTTGTATGTGTACAAACTGGGATAGTTCTAAAGGACACCAGAGTAAGTTTACATGGATTTAATTTTAGATTTTAAAAGAATGTAATAGGAAATGTCAATATTAGACGCACTTGTTAAGTTTTATTTTACGGGCACATGGCTGGAAAAATATATTAATAGTGCTATGTTATAAGAAGGCTTAAAAAGGCTGCATTAGAGTACACAGAAGAAAAAAATACCTGTGTACTATAATAAACATATAAAGAGACTCATTATATACATTTGTTGTGTGTTAAGCATAGGTATTTTGTCTTGTTGGTTAAATATAATGGAATATTTGCTCCAGCTCAGGTTTACGTTTTCAATTAGAACATGGTTCATGGCACCCCAGAATCTTATGACACATTTTCCATGATGCCCAATCTTGAAGCTAGTTGAGCATCTTGGGAAAAGTAGTTGGCAGACATGTCCGGTGCCATCATTAGCAATCACTGCTTTACAATACAGGGGTTACATAGGGATGTCCTTAGGACATTTTCCAGGATAGGGTAATGCCCTAATGCGAGTATAGGCAGTGTATCCCGGGGGGCCCATTTAAAAGGAAGGGAATAATTAAGATATTCTGAAATAACCAAAGCAAAATAAAAATGGAGTTTTCAAACAGTTGTTGCCCAAAAGTATGCCCAGGTATCACAAGATGATGGGTATTTAGGACGCTATAGGCACCCAACCAACTTTAGCTTAATTAAGCAGTTTGGGTTCTCTGCTACTTAGTAGTTAATTCCCTTTTTTTTCTGTTTATGCAACCCTAGCTACAACACCACTGGCTGTGACGCACACAACCTGAATGAAAAAAAACATGATTTCATTTTCAATCAGATGTAACTTACTTTAAAGCTTGTATCTCTTTGCTCTGTAAATTGAACTTTAATCACACACAGGAGTGTTATGCAAGGTCTAGCAAGCTATTAACAGTGTAGAAGATAAATTCTAAATTAAGAAGAATGTACAAAAAGGCAAGTTTAAACATTAGATCTCACTTTACAGGAAGTGTTTATGAAGGCTGGCAAAGCCACATGCAGGGAGGTGTGACTAGGGCTGCAGAAACAAAGTAATGTAACTTCTAAATGGCAGAGAATTGAGCAGTGATACTGCAGGGGTGTGATATATACACCAAAACTACTACACTAAGCTAAAGTTGATTTTGGTGCCTATAGTGTGCTTTTAAAGGAACATTCCAAACACCTAAACCAATTTAGCTTAACAAAGTGCTTCACGTGTGAAGCACTCTTATTTATTGTACAAAAAAATGCAAACTTTAATAGAACTGAACACTTTTATAAACTAACCTTCTTACTCCAACCCATTCATGCATGTTTGTTCCTTTGGTGATAGTTCTACAAATTGTATTTGGACAGTGAATGCAGCGGTAAACTGAATCACTGAATCCTTCTGAATCATCCTTACTAGGAAAAATGTCAAACAAGCGTGATGGCCTATTTGCGGACATGTTTGGTGACTTGTAAAGTAGGATATGGCTAATGATATATTTCGTAATAAAATATACAATACAGTATATAGAAAAATGGCTTTAGTATTACATAGCGTGTGCAAATCATGGAAATTTAAACAACCAAGAGGTGAATACTCCAGATTATCATCATGTTTTCAGATGATGAAAGCTAGATAACCGTAATTTAACTCACAGTTTTAGTTAAGCATGTTCCACTTTTCTCTCTGATGGGGTCTGACAGCTGTTTCCTGATTTATTTGTAGTCCTTAAAAATAGACCGTTTTTGACTTAAACATAGAAAGACAAAATTACAGCTAATTAACAAGTATATGAAAAAAATATTTATAAACAAAATAAAAAGAACAAATACACAGATAAAAATAATAACTCAATCCTGTTGGATAAATAAACCATTGAACAAAAGCCTAAACACTTAATGCATACATTACTTGAATAACTGTGCCTAGGACTGGGTAAGGTTGATTATGCAAGTGTGTTAGTGGAATTTAATATCGTAGAAATAGGTTATATAGATGTACAAATTTAATATAGGTTTTTGTGGGGGGTTTTATACCAGTAAAATTAAGGAACAAACATTCTGTGTTATTCCCTAAGTTGCAAGTTGTTGAAAATCTTTAAGGGACAGTAGTTACTGTTCCTCTCCCCCAACCCCTGCCTCCGATCAAATCCTGATATAGGGAGTAAAACTCATTATTACTATGCATGTACAACTATTCTATAACAGTTGCAAACATATATTAAAATGTTTTAACACACTGCTCATAGTTTTGATTTTCAAAAATACAGTTTTTCTCTGTAGGTTTATAAACATTGTTTAATAAAAATAATTTGAAAAGAAAAAAAATATATATTTTAAAAAATGCATATAATTTCCTGCTTGTGTGTTGCAGTACAGCTTCCTTTTCAGAAGGAAACGAAAGAAAAGGTAATTGACTTTGCAGACTGCCGAAAACCGTACAAGCATTTAAAAAAAAAAAACAAACAAAAAACTTTAAAGACAGAGCTATCTTTTAAAACCGTGCGTTCGTGATAAAGCTAAAATGTCATAGCAATATTTCGCAAGAGAGTGGAGAGAACAAATCAGGCAAAGAGGAAAGCATTTTAAACCCATTTTAGACCCAAATAAATCCCTTTAGGATCTTTATAGTGAGAAGCAGGAGAGCCAGTGTAGTTCTTGTATAAGATTAATGAAATGTTTTGAAATTCTTTATTACTTATTATTTCTGACCATTTACACTTTAGTTAATAGCACAAATCTAGAACTGCCAGTAGCTTACGAAGAAATATACAATGTGTTTGTAAAAGTTCCTAAAGTAGGGATGTAGCCAGATCCCAGCATAATTCTCTTAAATCCCAAATACTCGAACATAACATTTGCTTTGCTATACCAGAGGTAAAAAAGGTAATGTTTCAGTCTAGGGTTCGAGTGATATCAGCCTCGTCAAAGCTCTAATATCCAATAGGCACAGTTAAGACATGTAATGCTCACTTTTGGTCTATTAAAAACAAAAAAAACAAAAAAAAGTGATAAACAGAAAAAAAGTGCTAAGCTTTATTTTGTACACAAGATGTAGAAAAACACTGTGCTTCATAAAAATGTTCATCACTTGGTTGAGACCAAATAGTTTAAACTTTAATAAAAATAATTAAAAGGAAGAAAATACAAGGACAACAAAAGAAAGACATTATATGAAATTAACTATCTCTGTTCAGTGCTCAGGTGAAATGCTAAGAGATAGCATCCCCCCTCACAGTCCTTTGGCATCTCTAGAAAAGGTGCATCTTGAAATTGTTAAATATTCTGCTAAAGTGTGTTTCTCGTCCTATATAAACGGGAGAGAGGATAGAAGTCCCCAACTAGTCACAAAAGACCATAATAACCACGGTCATTTCCAACTATGACCGTTCAAACGCTACTAGCATCTATGGTTCAACTGTGCTCGGATGACATGTCATGTGACATTGTTCATTGCATATTCAAGGTAATGTATAATAAAAGAGGTTAACTTACGATATGTTTAATGGTTATTAATTTCATTATATAAAAACATAAAATCTTTAAGGACGTATCCTTGTAATGGAATGAACATGGAAAAAATTAACAAACACAAAGGACTCTAAGCGCATGTTGTACCTCTACTCTCCAACCAATGACGAAATTACCGTTTTCCTAGAAATAGGTTGCCTTGCAAACAATATTTCCCAAACGAATATATAATTCTAAAACAAAATAATACATGTATAAAAAGAGTAGCTGTGTTACAGTTAATGTTTATAGAGACACTCCTTTCTGGGGTCACTGGAAAAACAAACGAAAAAAAAAAAAACAGAAAAAAACAATATTGCAATTAAAAGGTACATAGATATTGCTGTATAATATATCTTGTGAAACCAGATAAGGATTTAGATAAATATACTTATTAATAGTTTGTTTTGGCCCAAAGAATATACACGGCCAATTGAACAGAACATTTTAGGCAATAAAATCAATAAATATACATAGTGGTGGACGCAAAGATCAAACAAGACAAAAACACTAAATGAATAATAAAACAACAAAAGATAATATAGGCATTATGTCAGACAGATCTGCAATGCAATAACTCCGTAACAAATTGCTAAAAGCTGCAAAGATATACATATGGCACCCTGCACTGTAAATAATTAAAAAGCCCAAAATTATCAAGATAAAATATTAAATTAGAGCTATAAAGTCCAGTGTTATTCACTCAAATATAATAGAAGTGTAAAAAAATATTACAATAAAAAGCACAGGAAATGTCATGTTATCATGTGAGGCTGGAGTGGGTACGAGGCGCCTGAAACGTTCAGGGTATGGCACTGCCAGTAATTAAGAAAACTCGGCTGGTCGACCCCAGGATGTGGAGAGAAAGTTTAAGTCTTGTTGGCAGAGCCAGACGAGCGCCTTATCTTTATGGACATTCGGCTTTTGCTGGTCCGCAGTAATGTAGGTGATGCCAACTCAGAACCATCACCCAGAGTCGGTACATTTTCACTCTGTTCATTTGTTGTGCAAGGGCCTAGAAAATAAAATTAAGAATCTTACAAAAAGTTT